ACATAAAAACAACCAACAGAAAATGAATGTTTCAATTTCACCGGTCCGTTCTAAAACAGGAAAACATACATGTGTCACATAAAAACATCTATGTATAACAAACCCTGGCAAAGATTGTAGCAGAACTGCTCCGATCATCATCGGTCAACTAATTCCTTCTGAAACTAAACGCCACTTTATAAATTATGAAGTATCTAAACCCTCAGCCAGCATCTCCTAACAAATCAATTCCATTTAAAATACAGTCGTGCCAAATTTTGTCTTGTCAGGAGCAATTTATGACTTATTGAAATCCATTCTAGTCAATTATCTCCATTTTCAAAACTCATCAGGAATTACCGTGTAAAAGGCAGCCCCCTGATGGTGTATATCTAGGGCAGACGGTTTTCACTGCTAAGTCAGTGCCACCAACACTGCAAAATAAAACCTTACACTGCTACTAAACAGTGATAATAGTAATATTAAATATTACAAAGAAATGGCAAATCTGTTTAACAGATACAAGTCATGTTTAGCCGCCATGTCAGAACAAAATCAATTTCCCTTTGAAAGCAGAACAGTGGTAACTGAGTGTTCAGTAAAGTTAGATGATGTTTATCACCATCAAATATAAACATCATTCCACAATATAACCTGAACCATGTCGCTGACAGAAGGCATACAATTGTGGACTAGAAGCATGTACCGATGTCAACATACACCCTTGTTGACACTGGTACCCTTGTTGACATGCATACCTTCACTGAAACACTCGTTGAAAAAAACCATATACACCCATGATGACACAGACACTTGCTGACATCCTTTGTTGACAATGATAACTGTTGACATTAGCTTGTTGAGAGATAACCTTGTTGACACATACACCCATTATAACACAGAGACTTGCTGAAAACCTTTTGTTGACAATGATAACTGTTGACATTAGCTTGTTGACACAGATAACCTTGTTTACATACACCAATGATGACACAGACACTTGCTGACATCCTTTGTTTGCAATGATTGCTGTTGACATTAGCTTGTTGACACATACACCGATGATGACACAGACAGACACTTGTTGGCACCCATACTATTGTTTACTAATTCTGTGCATGTGTCAAAAAGAATCCCATACTGTGACTATGTTGACATACAAACTCTAATTATGTTGACAAACTTATTCTGGTTAGGTACCCTTCAATGTTGACACACATACTTTTGTTAATACATTGTAAATCCTAACCTAATCAAAATACCATGCATCTATCAAAAGAATAGATTCAATATTTTTCTATTGCTTCAATCAAATCTCAAACAAAATGCGTTTCTGATTATTAACCAAGTTGAGATTCCATATTTATCTGTGATCCTATAAAGAAACTATCGTTTATCACAGCCACTGATCAGCGTATCTGGTTGCCTCCCTTTAATTCTGATATTTCCCCAAATCTTAAATTAACTTTTTCAATACCAAATCAATGATTCTGTATCCCGCTGTGACAAGTTAGGACTGGTTTTATGATATAATGGGGATCGTGCAACCAAATCCTCTGTTGCGGTGTGTAGCATGCGTTAAGGTCTCTACTTCGCACATAACCTTTGTTGGAATACGTCTAATACAGCAGACATATTAAAACCAAAGCACTCTGCCTGTATACACAGGGCATCTCTCAATCATATATCATTACAAAACTTCTCTCGCCTCACATAACACAAAACCTACTCTTGTTACGTATTAGTTTGTTAGATCTTCGCTCCTGTTTAGTGTCACAAAACCCCCAAGGTGCCATCAGTTTTATCTTACTGATCGCAGAGAGCCCAAACACTGTCGGAGGAGGCTGTGGCGCCAGCTGATTGGTGAAACTGTTGGATTAGTTCCTTTCATGAAATTGCAACATTTAATCGATTTGTGAAAACTTCATTTCACTAGGGAAACCATTTTTGTGAAGATTTATTTGCTAATAACCTTCATTTTCAGTGTAATAACTTCCAGTATAATGATAGTTGTAGATTTATGTGAAAGTTACCATGGTAATCAAATGTATGATACGTTGGAAGGGAAATCTTGTACACATGACCTGACGTGTTCTCCGAGTGACACATAACAAACATGTTACCTCAAAAAGACACATGGTACACATAGGAAACAACCTCAAAAAGACACATGGAACACATAGGAAAAAAACTCAAAAAGACACATGGTACACATAGGAAAAAACCTCAAAAAGACACATGGAACACATAGGAAAAAAACTCAAAAAGACACACGGTACACATAGGAAAAAACCCCAAAAAGACACATGGTACACATAGGAAACAACCTCAAAAAGATACATGGAACACATAGGAAAAAAACTCAAAAAGACACATGGTACACATAGGAAACAACCTAAAAAAGACACATGGTACACATAGGAAACAACCTAAAAAAGACACATGGTACACATAGGAAACAACCTAAAAAAGACACATGGTACACATAGGAAACAACCTAAAAAAGACACATGGTACACATAGGAAACAACCTCAAAAAGACACATGGAACACATAGGAAAAAACCTCAAAAAGACACATGGCACAGATAGGAAAAAACCTCAAAAAGACACATGGCACAGATAGGAAAAAACCTCAAAAAGACACATGGTACACATAGTAAACAACCTCAAAAAGACACATGGTACACATAGGAAAAAAACTCAAAAAAACAAACTATTACATATTGTTATTGCTTCCTCATCAATTTCCAATAACCAGTCAGTATTATATTTTACTTGAGCCTATTAAGCCTATGTTTTATGACATACTGTAAGACAAATTCACATATACTTTTCAACTTTTTTTCCCATTTTTCATTAAAAGTTACATAGGTGCTATCGGTTTTACTGGTAGCAAATACGGTCAGATATTGATCTCAAAGGGGTGGGGTTTCTGTTTCCAAATAAGGAAATCATGCAAAAAAAAACAAAGAAGGAAGTTGACAAGTTTGAAGGGGAGAGGGGGTCGTGTGCTGAAGTGATGGAAGACCCCCTGGATTTAGCAGAATATAACACTATCCTGGTGGTGCAGACCACTGGAATATCCGACAAATATCCGGCTGACACCAGCCCATAATGACATCCACTTCTCTTCTGTTGCAAGATATTAAAACCGTGATATATGCCTGAAGGGTTAGCACCTTACAAACTTCTACAGATCCTTGCTCAGTTTGTTGCACCATTGACATTTACAATGTAGGTCATAAAAAATTAAGATAACATCAGCAATTAATTTAACTCTTATAAATAAAACAGATATGAACAGTCAATTAGATTTAGGAATTGTGGAAATGAACGTCAGAAAATCAGAAGAAGGATAGAACTGAGGAGGAGTTTTTACTTTCCTTTATTATTTCTTACCCATTTTGGCCTTTATTGTCCTACCACCGGCTGCATACAATGCACACTGTACGACAGCTATACAAAGGGTAGTAACTCCTACTCCCTTAAAATCATACAACTTCGTCATTCTACATTTCATGAATAATCAGATTTTTATCAAATCCTTTAAAAAAAACCTGTAATCTGACAAACTGATACTGCAGAACAGCATTAGTCATAGCAATATCACAGAAACAGAACTGGGTATTATGTGCATATAAACATTGTGTACAGGCAAGACATGCAGTGCTGCACATAAACACAGGTTTTAGAAAGGGAATCTGATAACAGATTTCTCTCTAGGCTCTGGTATTCCTGTATGAAGCAAACAGCTAGAAACCTGAAAGGCCAGGAATTCATGTGTTCTCGCCAACTTAGTTTACATTCATCAGAAAGCTGCACCACTTTGTACCTCGTGAACCACTTTAGAAGAACTACGTAACATGTGTGATGTCAAGGTTCGGTCATACATTAGATTTCAATTAAAACCTCGGAAACATCTCAAAAATGTCTTGAGTTCACTGGGTATAAAATAGACAGGTATATATACTGACCTAAGTATCCGTATCAAGTCTTCACAGCTACATCTGATACACTTGCAGCTACACATTTTTAAACTGACATATGCTGGTGAATTCAGGGAATTTCTTTGAGAATACTAGCAATTCCAAGTGGAATTTGTTTTTTACTACCCAAACAAACTCTATAAATACCATATTACAGGTGATCTGAGATGAGGTCACTTTACGTAAAGCAGTTTGCAACTTATTAAAATGTCAACTATTTCATACAATTATTGTTTTTATGGTAATATTTCAACTTTGCGTACAAACATCAATCCCATTGATTTATCAAGTGTGCATGCAGTCGTACACAGGATATTTGAAATGTGTACCCTTAAGAAAGATATAATGATAATCATACAAAAATATGCAAAAATTCCATTGCTATTCAAAGATGGATACTTTCTGTACCATGAGAGAAAGTGACATCTAGCTTTACCAAAAAAGAAAGTAACATTTACCATGAGAGAAAGTGACATCTACCTGTGCTATGAGAGAAAGTGACATCTACCTGTGATATGAGAGAAAGTGACATTTACCTGTGATATGACAGAAAGTGCCATCTACCTGTGCTATGAAAGAAAGAGACATATGCCTGTGCTATGACAGAAAGCACCATCTACCTGTGCTATGACAGAAAGTGCCATCTACCTGTGCCATGAGAGAAAGTGACATCTACCTGTGATATGAGAGAAAGAGACATCTACCTGTGCTATGACAATAAGTGCCATCTACCTGTGCTATGACAGAAAGTGCCATCTACCTGTGCTATGAGAGAAAGAGACATCTACCTGTGCTATGAGAGAAAGTGCCATCTACCTGTGCTATGACAGAAAGTGACACCTATAGCTACCTGTGCTATGACAGAAAGTGATACCTATAGCTATCTGTCCTATGAGAGAAAGTGACACCTATAGCTACCTGTCCTATGACAGAAAGTGACATCTACCTGTGCTATGAGAGAAAGTGACACCTACCTGTGCTATGACAGAAAGTGACATCTACCTATGATAAGATAGAATACATTCACACCTACCTGTGCCATAAGAGAAGCCAGCTCAAGGGCAAGGTCTTTGTTGAGAGGAAATCGGCCATTGATGATCTCATCGTTCACCTGATATGCTAGAAGCAACTTCTCTTTTTCTGTCTCTGCAGAACTGGACGACTTAAAATACAACCTGCAAAATGTCACAATGATGGATCAGACTTTATCCACAATGATGGATCAGGCTTTATCCACAATGATGGATCAGGCTTTATCCACAATGATGGATCAGGCTTTATCCACAATGATGGATCAGGCTTTATCCACAATGATGGATCAGGCTTTATCCACAATGATGGATCAGGCTTTATCCACAATGATGGATCAGGCTTTATCCACAATGATGGATCAGGCTTTATCCACAATGATGGATCAGGCTTTATCCACAATGATGGATCAGGCTTTATCCACAATGATGGATCAGGCTTTATCCACAATGATGGATCAGGCTTTATCCACAATGATGGATCAGGCTTTATCCACAATGATGGATCAGGCTTTATCCACAATGATGGATCAGGCTTTATCCACAATGATGGATCAGGCTTTATCCACAATGATGGATCAGGCTTTATCCACAATGATGGATCAGGCTTTATCCACAATGATGGATCAGGCTTTATCCACAATGATGGATCAGGCTTTATCCACAATGATGGATCAGGCTTTATCCACAATGATGGATCAGGCTTTATCCACAATGATGGATCAGGCTTTATCCACAATGATGGATCAGGCTTTATCCACAATGATGGATCAGGCTTTATCCACAATGATGGATCAGGCTTTATCCACAATGATGGATCAGGCTTTATCCACAATGATGGATCAGGCTTTATCCACAATGATGGATCAGGCTTTATCCACAATGATGGATCAGGCTTTATCCACAATGATGGATCAGGCTTTATCCACAATGATGGATCAGGCTTTATCCACAATGATGGATCAGGCTTTATCCACAATGATGGATCAGGCTTTATCCACAATGATGGATCAGGCTTTATCAACAATGATGGATCAGGCTTTATCCACAATGATGGATCAGACTTTATCCACAATGATGGATCAGGCTTTATCCACAATGATGGATCAGGCTTTATCCACAATGATGGATCAGGCTTTATCCACAATGATGGATCAGGCTTTATCCACAATGATGGATCAGGCTTTATCCACAATGATGGATCAGGCTTTATCCACAATGATGGATCAGGCTTTATCCACAATGATGGATCAGGCTTTATCCACAATGATGGATCAGGCTTTATCAACAATGATGAATCAGGCTTTATCCACAATGATGGATCAGGCTTTATCCACAATGATGGATCAGACTTTATCCACAATGATGGATCAGGCTTTATCCACAATGATGGATCAGGCTTTATCCACAATGATGGATCAGGCTTTATCCACAATGATGGATCAGGCTTTATCCACAATGATGGATCAGGCTTTATCCACAATGATGGATCAGGCTTTATCCACAATGATGGATCAGGCTTTATCCACAATGATGGATCAGGCTTTATCCACAATGATGGATCAGGCTTTATCCACAATGATGGATCAGGCTTTATCCACAATGATGGATCAGGCTTTATCCACAATGATGGATCAGGCTTTATCCACAATGATGGATCAGGCTTTATCCACAATGATGGACCAGGCTTTATCCACAATGATGGATCAGGCTTTATCCACAATGATGGATCAGACTTTATCAACAATGATGGATCAGACTTTATCAACAATGATGGATCGGGCTTTATCCTTGAATGCAAAATTCCTATCAAGTTTAACAGATATATGGTATATATGTCCTACCTATGTAAAAATACCATCATTCTTACTCACTTTATTAAAGGCCTTTTGTTTAAATATGTTAAATATCAACACATTTAGTCATATTAGTGGAGGTTACCTGTCCTGCTTATGTATGTCAAATACCCTCACAGGTCTTTACATACGTTTGTCAAATATTGTCATTAATATTTATTACTTTATGAAAGGCCTTTTGTCTCTAAATTAGCATGTTAAATACCATACCATTTAGTCTATTATACTGTAAAGTTAACAGACTTAATGCATAAACCCTGATGGATTCTGGCAGGTAAACTAAAACGAAAAATCCTGTCTGTAACTTGTACTAGTGATAGAGTTTAACTGAGTCATACAATGATATGAGAAAGTTATTATCGATACGAACAAGTATGGAAGAGACCCTCCCAACCAACATCAGGTGTATCTTTTACAACAAGCAAACTGAAATCTCGCTTTTCATCTCTTTAAGTTCAGATTTTGTCGGGCTGGAACTGTTGGTAATGCCAAAAGAAATAATGAAATAAACTTTTAACAGTATTGGAGTTTCCAGTCTAGAAACACACTGTTACTTGGCTGAACTAATGTTTGCCTGTGCCCTCCATTTTGTCTGATTTCATAATGTATCTCTGTAGACCTTGATCACATGAAGCAGTGGTTATAAGTGTACATAGAGGACATGTACCAGGATAACGTGTAGGGTTTGCCTAAACAGAACTGAAATCTGAAGCAAAAACCTGGCTTACAAAATGACACAACACTCGAGAGGAGAGTAGTTTAGCTGCGGTAACCCGATAAGTGCATCAACATGGGGGGAATATTAAGACGAATGTCCCTATTTGGAATTCAAACAGGTTTCCTTAGCGGATTGAAGCAGGTTATTTATTTTTTCACCCCTAAGTCTTTTCTAAGCATACAGCTATTTGACGGTATTATTGCCTAATAGTTGTCAAAACTCTAACGTGTAAGCAACATGACAATATAGCGATTTCCTAAGACAAAGAGAAAACAGGACCTTGAAGTATGTTGGTGTAATTCATTTCATGTCCAGAGAAATTTTGGGCATTATAAAGGTATTTTGGCTATGAATTGAGGGAATAGAATAAGAGAATTTGAAAGACAAAGAGAAAACAGGACCTCGAAATATGTTGAGGCTAATTGAGGTGCAAGGGACATAAATACATTGAGGATTACCTATACCAGGTGACTTACATCGGGATCTGCTCCATTGTCACATACCAGTACAACTGTATATATGCGGTAATCAACTTAAGGGCAGCTGCTCTAATAAGAACCCACTCTGGGGTTTTGAGAATTTAAATTCAATGCTTATCTTAAGTTCCAGCTTTTTTGCGCTCTTGATTTTAAAAGTACTGGATGTCGTCTAGTTGTTTTTGCTAATAAGACAATTTCTATCATCAAAACAAAAGCCAATTATTTTGACACAAAACTCATATTAACTTATTGTAATCAGTATGAAATGAATTTTCCTAAATCAATGCTAGCCTAACACTTGAGGATAATCCAGATATGTCCTTTCAAATACCTATTAGATTCAAAACTTTACTGAAAGGAATGAAAACTGTACCAAACAGTAGCATGCTCACCTAGTCGTGTGTGTATATGTTCACTGATGTATAAGTCTCTCAAGGGTATATCTACTTAATGCCTGGTCTCTGTGAGCTCTTAGCATGTAAAACGTAGCCACAGAGCCAAAAAATATTACTAATTCATATACGGCCATATATCATTGCTTATGAGAGCATTCGGCGTGTCATACGGGGAATCTGTTTATAGATGTAGACTCTATACTCAACTCCAAACATCGATCCGATACTTCTGAAATGCGCTATGTCAATCGACTTGCAGAAATTGCAAAACAGTAGTTGACAGAATGAAATTAAAGATAACAGATTGTCTCGTAAAGTCGGCGTTTGATGCATACGGAAGAATATGAGCAGTGTTTTGACGCAGACTATCTGACAAGGCAGTAACACAGTATGAAGTCGCTGTCCTGTGATGATGATTAAATCTGCCGCAATGACAGAACCGCTTTGTTATTGGCAGGCTTGCGGGGATTATCAGATTCCCTTTATATGTAACACAAAATATTTACACAAATATGCTGGCTATATTCAGATACTCTTGAGGCATATGTTTCAAAAACATAAGGATGCAGGTTTAAATGATGATGAATACGAACAGATTACGCAAATACAAAATTAAATTTACTGGTTCTCTGTCAGCTAGCATATTACATCAATAAAACAAGAAAAAGATAGTTTAGCACTTGATATTGATATTTCCCTGTAAGGAGAATGGTTTTGATATTTTTCTTACCAAATGATTTTGTGTTTAGATGATGTTTGTAATGAGGATGCACATAACACGCTACAATTTGACCTACAGTTGTACTCAGTGTCATATCAAGGTGACCTCTAGCTGACCTTTGGGTTTTAAATGAAACACTCATAGTGCAGAAAAAGGATTTTCTAATTAAGAGAGACCTCAGGGAGAACCCCAACAGGAAGATCATGAAATATTGCTGTAGTGGAGGTTCTTTTGCCTTCATTTCACTGTCCTCTTCCCGAACAAGCTCATGTGCCGTGGGGATCAAACAAACCGTCGTAGCAACATAATCTTTGAGGAGCTTGTTCTTTGCTAGATTTTCCGATCCATCTTAAATTGGAGCAGGCACAACAATGATCTAGGGAGATCATGCAGAAGTTTCATCAAGATCTTTTCAATGCTTTCCAAGAAATTCAATTTTTGCATGAAATATCCATACATTAAAATCTAAAATGGCCAACAGGCCACATGAAGCAACTTCATATACTCGCGTCATTTACAAACTGTTTGCGAACCAACCAAATTAAAAGCAAGCACAACTATAGGAACTAAGGGATCCTAACCAAGTTTCATCATTATCCCTTTAGTAGTTTCAACGAAATAGTGATAATAAACTTGAAATTCAAAATCCAAGATGGCTGCCTGGTGGCCATTTTGCTTCTCAGACTATCTCAAATGAGTATGCACAACTATAGACCAAAGTTTACGCATATCACGTTTCATCATTAATCCCTTAATTTCTGAGAAACGCAGTAACAATTTTTGTCAACAGACGGAGTGACTAGCTGACGGATGAAGTGATTTGGAAAGCTTTCCATCTGATAATGGCGGGCTATAAACCAGAGCCCTACTCAACAGTTAAATTCAGTTCAAGCTCATGCCTCAATATTAGTCGGAGCACCCAACTTATTTCAATTTAGACACAATTCCAAGTATTGCGAGGCATTCCATAATCACTTCCTGCTAATGATTTACCTACTTACCAGAATGTACACGCATATCTCAACATTAACCACTTAGAAAGAAGCTATGCTGTTACATATATACAAACATGATTTAAAGGCATTTTTTAATGTTTGAATTGTTTTGCTGCAAAACTGATATTTGTGGCAGGGTCATTTAGTTCAAAGAGATCTACTATGGTATATAACAATCTGCCTCCTCAACATATACCTGCAGAGAAAATATATCTACATGTAGAGTTGCTAACTCATGATGAAATATGACGGGAGATATGTCATAGACAAACTGTTTTAATGATTGAGGTCAGAGGTCAAAATATAGGTCACAGTGACCATTTTTTAGTATGCAACAACCTGACATTTCAAGACTGACCGACTTTGGGTATACAACACTAAGCCATCCCAAGCTACACTTGCATTGAAGGTGCCTCTGATGAAACAGTACTAGAAATATATACAGGAAAAACTTTTTGGATAGAATGATGGAGAAATTTTACAGAAGATTGAAAAGAAATATAAAAGATAAAGGATGCAATTTGGACAGGCGGGGCAGAATCAATATTCTTATATAGCCAGACATGTAAGTTACCCATCATAGAAAGCCATGGAAGATGAATCTTTCTCCAACCCTTCACAGGTGTCTCTCGTTTAAGTAGGGAAAGATTAGCTTGTCACCCCCTAGGGGGAGATAGCCTCGTGCCGATTAGCAAGTGTTCAATTGTGACGTCATTAAAATGCGTCACCGGTAATTGTGGCGTCATCAAAAGTGAATGACGATATTCATACCCCACATGTGTTTTTGTTGACACTACTGTCGATGGAGTTGTGACTGAAATAATAGGATGGGAGAAAAACAATCATCCCTTACCTTGAGGGTGTAACAGAGAAATCTATTAATCTTACATAAACATGACGTCACAATGCAAAGACAACAAGATGAAGTCTTGCAGCAGCAAGTTTGAAGTCATTGCAATCTAATTTGCTTAATTTCATTTTCTAATTCAAATAATTTATCTTCATTTATTGCTTTCTTATTTCATATTCATTATTTGAAGTATATACTTTAAGCATAAATCAACCTCTGATACAATCAGATCAGTATTATACAGAAGTTTGTATGTCCCAAATGGAACAACATTTTGACGACCAAACAGATGTTGATGCTCTATAAAGGGAAACAAAACTAAGATGAATCAAATAATAAAACAGAAAAAAAATAAAATCTTTAAAACTTTCAGATGATTTTTATGTAGTGTTATTCAATAGCTGTTTGAAACAGTCTTGAGATTAAAAACACAAGACCGTAGGGTTATTACTGGTAAACAGACTCCAAGTGGAGTCGTATAATAGGAGCCAGATTGCCCTGACTAACGCCTCCCCTCTTAGCCTCACTGGTTTTATCAATACCACCCTTGTCAGGCTATAAAAGTCACATGTTATATAACCCACACACCCCACACACGGCCTGACAATATCACTGTACAACTTCCATTTCTTACAATGTAACAAATGGGCAAAGGGAAGTAACTCTTGTTTAAAATCATGACATGCAGCCCACCAAACCTCACATTATACGACCAAATTGTTGTGACAATTTGTGTTATCAAGTGTTTACTGTTCCTTGTGTATAGAATTGGTCGATGGTATAAAGGTATATCTATCAGATATTTTACTTACCTGTTTTTGTAGAGAAGTCGAATGGTGCGCCCGTTGTCTTGTTTCCCTGAGAGAAATTCTTTATGGCTTTGTTCCCATTTTGATATAACATCACAGATCTGAAAAGAAAAACATGTCTTTATTTTAATGTCATAGTAACAAATTTTCACATTTGTCTAAATAAAATCCCTTTATTCCTTTTGTTTACATGTGTTGAGGTGCTTGTGTAAGGGAGATAACTCTTGAGTATAACTAAATTAGCCTGAATATTCCAGTTCTGTAATTAATCCTTACTGATGTGTACTCGGATAACATCTCCAAACTTGCCAATGCTCCCTATTTTGGAGGGAAACTCCCAATTACCTACATTGGTAACAGGAGATGGAAAAAGCAACAGGGTCAGACCAAGAATTTGACCTGTAGATGGATGCTCTAACCAATTAAGATACCTGGCAGTCACCCAGCCTAGCCCTGCTACACAAATCACACCCTTCTGTAAGTTTTAGGAAAACCAGACTTATATGATATGTAAATATGTAATGTTTATGTGCATTTATATACAAGTTTAGTATTATTGAACAAATATGGTCAAGGTTATATTACTGACCTTGATTGAGGATTGGAGACAGTGCTCTATGTCAGAGCTGCAAGGGTCGTCTGTACACAGGCTGAAACCTGATTGGCTCACATCCCGTACACTGATGACCTTACTGAGGGTCAGCAGAAACTCCTGGACAGTAGTTGACCCATCAAAACTGACCACCTGCATAAAATGAAAAGCAAAAATGAAGCTTAAATGTTTGAAATTTTGTTTTATATCAGCCAAATCTGAGGAGTTAAATTTGGTTTTCAACTTTCTGATAGCCAGGTGAGCTAAAATGTCTAGATTAACAATTTCTGGATAAATGAACACAAGACTCCTGCCAGTCAGGAGACATACATTGTTAAGCTAGTCCTTATCTTTTATTACTAACAATTAACAAAAATAGTGGCTTATCCCACATGTGATGGTTGTTAAATGTCAAGACAAAAAATATGGAAAATTTAACCAACAATTTGGCCAAAGTTGTCCAACTTCTACAAAGCTTTGAGACTTATTATTTCCTATGTATGTGAGGCTCCATCCCCAGTAAAACTCTTCTGGATCCAGAACAGAACTTTTCAGGTGAACAAGTGAGGAATTCCATTCCAAAGCATTGGTGTGCAGACAGCAAATTGTTTGGCTTAACAGAGCTCAGAGTATCAAGGTTTGATGACGAGTGTACAACTCTATCATGACAGCATGCGCAGTGTACATCATACACATACAATAAAACTTGGGTCCTTACACATTATCAGTACGGTGTGAGGTCAGTACCGTGTTGTATCAACCTAAAGCTCACCTGGTACGTGTTGTGGAGGAAGTGTACAGGAATACTGATTGGCTGAGAGTGATGGAAGGGGTGTCGGAGCAAGATAGACATCACTTCCATACGGGAGGGACGCACCTCCCGGATACCTTTCACAACAGTCCGCTCCAATGCTCGCTGACAGAATATTGCATATTTCCCGATTTCTGACCTGTTCAAATAAGTAAAGTAAAGTAAAATGACACAGTGATGAAGTTCCCAAACATAATATCCCAGCAAATTAAATATTTATATTAATCTTTCTGTTGTTATGTCACCATCTAAAAGAGGTCAGAATAGATACTTATAACAATGGAACTGGTAGACAAGGGATTTCAGCTGGTTTCATATGTAACATGAATGACTGAATAATGAATTTAGTCTGGGGTAGGGTGATAGGGGAGGGAGTAGTCTGAATATAAAAACCTTGTCTGTGTTGGGTGACAGGGAAGGAAGTTAACTGGATTTTCTAACCTTGTGTCTGTGTGGGGTGACAGGGGTGGGAGTAGAATGGATGTGCCAATCTTTGTGTCTGTGTTGGGCGACAGGGGAGGAAGTTAACTGGATTTACTAACCTTGTGTCTGTGTTGAGTTACAGCGTTGGGAGTGGAATGGATGTACCAATCTTGTCTCTGTGTTGGGTGACAGGGGAGGAAGTTAACTGGATTTACTAACCTTGTGTCTGTGTTGAGTTACAGCGTTGGGAGTGGAATGGATTTACCAATCTTGTCTCTGTGTTGGGTGACAGGGGGGGAAGTTAACTGGATTTACTCACCTTGTGTCTGTGTTGATTGACAGGGGTGGGAGTGGAATGGATGTAACAACCTTGTGTCTGTGTTGGGTGACAGGGGAGGAAGTTAACTGGATTTACTAAACTTGTATCTGTGTTGAGTGACAGGGGAGGAAGTTAACTGGATTTACTCACCTTGTGTCTGTGTTGATTGACAGGGGTGGGAGTGGAATGGATGTACCAACCTTGTGTCTGTGTTGGGTGACAGGGGTGGAAGTTAACTGGATTTACTCACCTTGTGTCTGTGTTGATTGACAGGGGTGGGAGTGGAATGGATGTATCGACCTTGTGTCTGTGTTGGGTGACAGGGGAGGAAGTTAATGGATTTACTCACCTTGTGTCTGTGTTGGGTGACAGGGGTGGAAGTTAATTGGATTTACTCACCTTGTGTCTGTGTTGGGTGACAAGGGTGGAAGTTAACTGGATTTACTCACCTTGTGTCTGTGTTGATTGACAGGGGTGGGAATGGAATGGATTAACCAATCTTGTGTCTGTGTTAGGTGATGGGGGAGGAAGTTTACTGGATTTACTAACCTTGTGTCTGTGTTGAGTGACAGGGGGTGGGAGTGGAATGTATTTACCAATCTTGTGTCTGTGTTGGGTGACAGGGGTGGAAGTTTACTGGATTTACTAACCTTTTGTCTGTGTTGGGTGACAGTGGAGGAAGTTTATTGGATTTACCAATCTTGTGTCTGTGTTGGGCGACAGGGGAGGAAGTTTACTGGATTTACTAACCTTGTGTCTGTGTTGGGTGAGAGGGGAGGGAGTAGACTGGATGTACTCACCTTAATTGTGTCTGTGTTGAGTGACAGGGGTGGAAGTTTACTGGATTTACTCACCTTGTGTCTGTGTTGAGTGACAGGGGAGGAAGTTTACTGGATTTACTAACCTTGTGTCTGTGTTGAGTGACAGGGGTGGAAGTTTACTGGATTTACTCACCTTGTGTCTGTGTTGAGTGACAGGGGAGGAAGTTTACTGGATTTACTAACCTTGTGTCTGTGTTGAGTGACAGGGGTGGAAGTTTACTGGATTTACTCACCTTGTGTCTGTGTTGAGTGACAGGGGAGGAAGTTTACTGGATTTACTAACCTTGTGTCTGTGTTGAGTGACAGGGGTGGAAGTTTACTGGATTTACTAACCTTGTGTCTGTGTTGAGTGACAGGGGTGGAAGTTTACTGGATTTACTCACCTTGTGTCTGTGTTGAGTGACAGGGGAGGAAGTTTACTGGATTTACTAACCTTGTGTCTGTGTTGAGTGACAGGGGTGGAAGTTTACTGGATTTACTAACCTTGTGTCTGTGTTGAGTGACAGGGGTGGAAGTTTACTGGATTTACTAACCTTGTGTCTGTGTTGAGTGACAGGGGTGGAAGTTTACTGGATTTACTAACCTTGTGTCTGTGTTGAGTGACAGGGGTGGAAGTTTACTGGATTTACTAACCTTGTGTCTGTGTTGAGTGACAGGGGTGGAAGTTTACTGGATTTACTAACCTTGTGTCTGTGTTGAGTGACAGGGGTGGAAGTTTACTGGATTTACTAACCTTGTGTCTGTGTTGAGTGACAGGGGTGGAAGTTTACTGGATTTACTAACCTTGTGTCTGTGTTGAGTGACAGGGGAGGAAGTTTACTGGATTTACTAACCTTGTGTCTGTGTTGAGTGACAGGGGAGGAAGTTTACTGGATTTACTAACCTTGTGTCTGTGTTGAGTGACAGGGGAGGAAGTTTACTGGATTTACTAACCTTGTGTCTGTGTTGAGTGACAGGGGAGGAAGTTTACTGGATTTACTAACCTTGTGTCTGTGTTGAGTGACAGGGGAGGAAGTTTACTGGATTTACTAACCTTGTGTCTGTGTTGAGTGACAGGGGAGGAAGTTTACTGGATTTACTAACCTTGTGTCTGTGTTGAGTGACAGGGGTGGAAGTTTACTGGATTTACTAACCTTGTGTCTGTGTTGAGTGACAGGGGAGGAAGTTTACTGGATTTACTAACCTTGTGTCTGTGTTGAGTGACAGGGGTGGAAGTTTACTGGATTTACTAACCTTGTGTCTGTGTCGGGTGACAGGGGAGGAAGTTAACTGGATTTACTAACCTTGTGTCTGTGTTGAGTGACAGGGGTGGAAGTTTACTGGATTTACTCACCTTGTGTCTGTGTTGGGTGACAGGGGAGGAAGTTTACTGGATTTACTAACCTTGTGTCTGTGTTGGGTGACAGGGGAGGAAGTTTACTGGATTTACTAACCTTGTGTCTGTGTTGATTGACAGGGGAGGAAGTTTACTGGATTTACTCACCTTGTGTCTGTGTTAGGTGACAGGGGAGGGAGTAGACTGGATGTACTCACCCTGTGTCTGTGTTAGGTGACAGGGGAGGGAGTAGACTGGATGTACTCACCTTGTGTCTGTGTTTGGTGACAGCGGAGGGAGTAGACTGGATGTACTCACCTTGTGTCTGTGTTGGGTGACAGGGGAGGGAGTAGACTGGATGAACTCACCTTGTGTCTGTGTTGCGTTGAAGATGGACCTTGAGATGCCACATGATGCTCTGTTTGGGGAGGAAGAGTGAGACACACATAGCTAGGAGCTGCCAGGCCTGCAGGAACACGTGATGGGCAGGGTTGAGTTTGGAGTCTGACAGGTCCACCACTGAGTTGGTGGGTGAGGTAGGTGTTGCGTGGCACAGGTACCAGGAATGCTTGCCACACAGGAGTAAATTCTGAAACAAGCAAATAAAGGACAAATTTAAGATAATACAAGTTGTCCACCAAAACAATTGGTAATGGCTTAAATCAATGAAAACAATGGTGACCTTGTTTCTGTTATCACTCCAGGACCATTTTCACACGTTGGCTTAATTGTCTAAAAGATTTTACCAAATAGATGTTGAATAAGTTTCCTCCCTGACTAAGATTGTTATGCTCTGTGAGGGGATTGTAAACTATCGAACATGCATTAAAAGATCATCCCAGGAATGTCCTAAAAAGTGGTCTCTTCACACAGGTGGTTAACTAAATACACGTTTAGTTCTCAATGCGATATAATGGGAAACATTGACAGTTGTCTGAAAACAGGTGGTCTCTTAAGGGAGGTGGAGTCTGGATGTTTAAATAAGTGTGTTTGTATGATATTTTAAATATGAAAACATGAAATGTACATTGTATAGTATAACTTAACAAGAGGCCCAGAGGGCCTGTATCGCTCACCTGGATACCTAAGCAATCATGGCAAACTATTCTCCAAATGAGATCAAGGGAATATGCCAGACCCCAAGGCCAATCCTTGTAGCATAGCTATATTAGATTTTTCATGACCAGCAATTTTATGTATGGTTATGAGGTGGGGATCTCAACTGTTTCCAAGCTTTGACTCAGAAACTAGGTCCCTAGAGTTGTTGCCAGACTCCAGGATCAATTCTAATATCGTGAATGCATTTGTCTCTTTTTGCCAAGCATTTGTATATATAGTTTTGGGGTGGGGATCTCAACCGTTTCAAAGTTATGACCCAGGGGCCAAGTCTGCAAGGGTGGGGCAGACCCTGGGATCAATTCTAATATCATGACTGCATTCGTCTCTTTATGCCCAACAATTGTATATATAGTTTTGGGGTGGGGATATTAACCATTTCAAAGTTATGACCCAGGGGTTAAGTCTCCAAGGGTGGGGCAGTCCCCAAGGCCAACCTGGAAGCATATGTGCAATCATCTCTTTATACTCAGCAATTGTATATATACGGTTATAGGGTGGGGCTCTCAACTGTTTCCAAGCTGTGACTAAGAAACTAGGTCCCTAGGGGTTCGGTCAGACCCCAGGGTCTATTCTGATATCATGATTGCATTCGTCTCTTTATGCCCAGCATTTGTATATATAGTTTTGGGGTGGGGATCTCAACCGTTTTAAAGTTATGGCCCAGGGACTATGTCTCCAAGGGTGGGGCCAGACCCTAGGGACATCCTGGAAGCAAATGTGCATTCTTCTCTTTATACTCAGCAATTGTATATATGGTTATATGGTGGGGATCTCAACCATTTCCAAGTAATACATTTTATTGGCCCCACCCCTTAGCCCGGGGGGTCAGCCCCACCATTTGTACAATTTTGAATCCCTGCCTCCCATGAATACTTCCGACCAAATATGATCAATATCCATGGCATAGTTCTGCAGAAGAAGTCATTTATAGCAATATAACCAAATTGCCCCCTTTTGGCCCCGCCCCTCAGCCCCCTGGGGGGTCAGCCCAACCGTTTGTACAATTTTGAATCTCCACCACCTAGAGATGCTTCCAGTCAAATAAGGTTGATATCCATCACTTAGTTCCAGAGAAGAAGTCACTTAAAGCAGTATAGCCAAATACCCTTTTTGGCCCTGCCCCTCAGCCCCCTGGGGGGTCAGCCACACCATTTGTACAATTTTAAATCCCTGCCTCCCAGGAATGCTTTTGATCAAATATGATTGATATCCAGTGCACAGTTCTACAGAAGAAGTCGTTTGTAGCAATATAGCCAAATTGCCCCCTTTTGGCCCCGCCCCTTAGCCCCCTGGGGAGTCAGCCCCACCATTTGTACAATTTTTAATCACCATCACCTAGGGATGCTTCCAGTCAAATATGGTTGATATCCACTTCTTAGTTCCAGAGAAGAAGTCGCTTAAAGCAATATGAGCAAATTGACCCCTTTTGGCCCCGCCCCTCAGCCCCCTGGGGGGGTCAGCCCCATTATTTGTACAATTTTGAATCCCCACCACCTAGGGATGCTTCCAGTCAAATTTAGTTTAATTCCAACCAGTGGTTAAGAAGGAGAAGTCATTTAAAGAAATTGTTGACGTACGTACATACGTACGGACGACGGACGGACGACGGACGCCACGGTATGGCATAAGCTCACCTTGGTCCTTTGGACCAGGTGAGCTAATAATAATACAGGTACATTTTCACACAACAAAAGTACTTCTTTCAATATCTCTTTAAACTCATATCACAATCCAGTAGAAATTCACACCAATGCTATTTTACTGTCTTGTAATAAGTTCATCTCCGTCTTTTAGTCAGCGAGTCTGTTTGCCCCTTGTCTTATCTTGGGATAAATATGGTATTCAATCAAAACCCTGTTATATGGAGGAAGAATAATAATCTGTATAGGTTCCCCTTAGGTGTCCCTTTGATTGTCTGTAATTTTTTACAACCTATATATATCCTAAGGGTTCCTTAATAATTATTCAAATCTTGTCTTATTCAAAAATAAAATTTCTGTTCTCTTCTTATAAATCTGGACATTTTCAGTTTCACATGCAATCTGATTTGGAAATAAGGATGAAAAATCAAGCTCTGATATTTCTTCCCTTTTCATTCTGTAATCATAGTTCTGTAGGAACAAGTTACATTATATCCACAAATCATCATTTATCCAAAATAGTTGCTAAACCTTTTACAACTTATAAATGGACATGCTTTTACAACTTATAAATGGACAAGCTTTTACAACTTATAAATGGACAAGCTTTAACAATTTATAAATGAACAAGCTTTTACAACTTATAAATGGACAAGCTTTTACAACTTATAAATGGACAAGCTTTAACAATTTATAAATGAACAAGCTTTTACAACTTATAAATGAAAAAGATTTTTACAACTCATAAATGGACAAGCTTTTGCAACTTATAAATGGCCAAACTTTTACAACTTCTAAACGAACAAGCTTTACAACTTATAAATGGACAAGCTTTTATATCTTATAAATGAACAACCTTTTACAACTTATAAATGAACAAGCTTTTACAACTTATAATTGGACAAGCTTTTAAAACTTATAAATGGACAAGCTTTTACAACTTATAACTGAACAAGCTTTTACAACTTATAAACGGACATGTTTTTACAACTTATAATTGGACAAGCTTTTAAAACTTATAAATGGACAAGCTTTTACAACTTATAAAGGAACAAGCTTTTACAACTTATAAATGGACAAGCTTTTACTACTTATAAATGAACAAGCTTTTACAACTTATAAATGAAAAAGATTTTTACAACTCATAAATGGACAAGCTTTTGCAACTTATAAATGGACAATCTTTTACAACTTCTAAATGAACAAGCTTTACAACTTATAAATGGACAAGCTTTTATATCTTATAAATGAACAACCTTTTATAACTTATAAATGAACAAGCTTTTACAACTTATAAATGAAAAAGGTTTTTAAAACTTATAAATGGACAAGCTTTTGCAACTTATAAATGGACAAACTTTTACAACTTCTAAATGAACAAGCTTTACAACTTATAAATGAAAAAGATTTTTACAACTTATAAATTAACAACCTTTTATAACTTATAAATGAACAACCTTTTATATATTATAAATGAACAACCTTTTCTATCTTATAAATGAACACCCTTTTACAACTTATCAATGAACAACCTTTTATATCTTATAAATGGACAAGCTTTTATAACTTATAAATGAACAAGCTTTTATATCTTATAAATGAACAAGCTTTTATATCTTATAAATGAACAACCTTTTATAACTTATAAATGAACAAGCTTTTAAGATGCATTATTTGTTTGATGTCATTCTTATTGCCAATTGTGATTTCTTACACAATAAAGGATCTGTCAGTATTTCCTCCCAAACCTTATATAATCTATTTTGATGCTTAGTCAATATTGTAATTGAGAGGTTAATATGACAGTCAGTCATTGTCGAGCTCCATCACCACCCACCCCCCCTGTGTATCAGCCCTGCGTAAGAGACCTGCCATAGTGGTGCATAGACACACACAACATCAATTAGCCTCCTTCGTCCCACGGTGGCCTTTCATGTGTAAGGAGCAGTAATTAAAATGAATATGGTAATTCTACAAATGGAAATGTCACATTTCCTCAGCACATTTTTCCTCTCTTAGGATAGAAACCTGTGAAGATAGCGTGATTTCTCCACTTCTAAAAACGGATGAAAATGCATGATTACAAAGCCTGGTATAGCCAATGAAATCCCTAAACAAATCAATGGGGTAGGTGACTGATGGAAATCAACTGCTGACTTGCATGAAAACCGATTGTCTATTCTGATACAACTGTACTCTGTAAAACAGCAGACAATGGGCCTATAATATGTTGTATAAGCTTTTAACTGTACTCCGTAAGTCTAATCTGTTTCAACTGAACTCTGTAAAACAGCAGACAATGGGCCTATAATATGTTGTATAAGCTGTTAGCTGTACTCCGTAAGTCTTATCTGTTACAACTGTACTCTGTAAAACAATTATTTAACAACTTATTTGAGAGAGAACTGAGGAGAACGCAGAAATTGATCCGTTGTGGGGGATGTATCGGACACGACAAACCACTCAATTTCAAAACAGTCGAAGCAGTCACAGCTTGGTTACAATGAGCAGATGATAGTAGCATTCTGACATGTATACAGCAGACGGTCAAAACAGTATCTAACAGAGAGCAAAAGGGTCACATCTATCTGACACAGAGCCCATGTCTCGGTCAAAACATTATCTAACAGTGAGCAAACAGGTCACATCTATCTGACACAGAGCACACGTCTCGATAAAAGCATTACCTAACAGTGAGCAAAAGGGTCACATCTATCTGACACAGAGCACATGTCTCGGTAAAAGCATTACCTAACAGTGAGCAAAAGGGTCACATCTATCTGACACAGAGCACACGTCTCGGTCAAAGCATTATCTAACAGTGAGCAAA